ATATATATATATATATATATATATACATATAAAGTATCTAATTGAAGAGAGATATAATTTAATATACTGCGTTGTTTTTCTAATGTTCCATTCTCTACTAATGTATGATTATCTTTAACTTTAGTTTTAGTTACTGTTTGTTTTTGTCTAATTTTAAGAATTAAAAAAAAGATTAAATTGGATTATAATTAAAGTTCTTACATTGATGAAATCAGGCTCATCTTCACAATATGTATTATTTGAAGATTAAAGGTTACCAAGAAATTTGTGAATGTATTTTATTAAATCTCTTTAACTTTTAATTTTTAGGGAATAATATATTGTGAAAAAAAGTCTCAAAACAAATTATTATTATTGCACAATCTTATTATTCGCTTGATTACATTGAGCTTCTAGCTTGTTTATTTTAAATGTTTAAAGCGGGTCCTAATTCTCTCAATTATTACAATTGTTTTGTACTATTTTATTGATGCCCCCTTTAAAATAAATTCAATTTAAAATAAACAATATGGAAATTTAATATAGCCTTTAGATGACCGATAATATACATATATAATATTGGTTATATATAATATTGGTCGTCTAGGAGGCTTCAAGAAGGCATCAGTAATATTGTACGAAATAATGATACCGATAATTTTGAACGTTTAGGGTCAACGGAACACAGATGCTAAGAACATGGAATCCGTGGCAGCCTAATACTTATTATGTTTGTGCGACAAATGTTTAACATATGTTTCGGTACATATTTCCATAAGTACAACGTCATTTTGAATAGCTTTCGTAAAGAACTGAGAACTTCGCACTCAAATAACATCCTGTTGAGACGACAAAACATCGAAAATATTCGTTGAATTGTGTCGCGGTTCTTTAATATATCATCGCGGTAAAAAGTCGGGTGTTACGTCGTGTGAAACGAATGTCGTAACAAGGAAGACAATGCTTGTATGTACAGATACGCGGTTTACTCGTGAATTGCTGCTTTTATCTCGGAATCAACTGTAAGAATCTCCGCTTTCGTCTCAGGGACATCTCCAGTTGTCGCTGGAGTTCTTGATTGCAACCTCGCGAATTTTATTCCCCGTCTCATAAAAGATGTATAAACTGCATTGACAAACTCGTTAAGCCGGATTGCAAACAGTCGCCAGTTTTATGCGAACGAAATCCTATTAATAGGAACAATGGAGAGTTGGATGCAATAACTAAATTTTACACATTAATTCCGTGCGACGTGCATTAAGCAATAATTTTGACTGACGTATGTTATTAAATAATAACATTTGTGTCATGCGACGCAAAAATCGAAAAGAAATTTGTTCGAATAAAATTCCACTAATTATATGCATAAATAATTTTGTTAAATCGTTACTATTGCTTAATTTAAAGAATCTGTTGTTATAATTGAAATGTTTAAGAATATTTCAGACTTATATGAGAATTTGAATACATTTTATTATCGTTCTCATTTGCTATCTTAATATTCTGATCTGGTTCAGCTTTCTCTGCTTTTTCACTTGTTCTCGCTTAATGTTTACGTGAGAAGGTTTGTTACAGGACCTTATCGATTTATTCGATATAGATTCTTTTTACCGTTTTATGTTGGAGCTAGAAAGTTTCTTTAGTCGTTATATGCTGAGCCTTTCGTTTCGGTTAATGGTCGCGTGTCTTCAACGAAAAGTAGAGCGAACTAGCATTTTATCAGCTGTCTCGTTTCAAGGTCCTAAATGTTCCTTCTCCGATTTCACGTTCATGGATGTAAGACACTAGTCCTAGACTCGATTAAAAAAACGTTATGATATTTGAAGCGAGAAAAAAAATGAATATAATGAGAAAAATATAATTAAATACTATCATAATTTAAAGTTGATAATTTTCAGTGGTATTATATATTTTTTAAGTAGAACAGTAAATAATACGTCGAGAAAAATATCTAGTTAAAAATGAGCGAATCAGAAGATTCTAATTATGTTAAGAATTCTGGTTCTCTCTCTCTCTCTCTCTCAATTAGAATTCTAATAGATTTAATCAGAAAATTCTAATTCCTTCGTTTTCCCCCCCCCCCCCCACACACACACATACACACATACAAAGTTAGAATTCTAATTATATCAAACAGATATTTTTCTCAGTGTAGTTAACTATATTTATAATTCTATGTATAGTAACCGCATAATTATTACTAATATTATATAATAATAAACTAAAATTGGAGTTCTTAGCTATAATTATGTTGCCATGCAATTATAATTACAAATATCAAACATTTTTCTTACAGTATAGAATTTATTCGTTCGATCGTAACAATTAATTGTTTGTTTTCAACTATATTTATTAACTATATCAATTCCTAAAGCAACAGAGAAAATAAATATTTTTACGTAACTTATTATATAGCCTTATACTTATATTTCAAAGTGCGAATGATGGAAAAATCCTGAAGGATACGAAAGTAAATGTAAATTGTTGTTCCTTTAAAATGTTTTTTTTTTTGTGAATGGTTGCGATAACGCTTTAATCGTATTCAGAATTCCAGTTTAATGTTTCATAACTCATATTTTCGACATTTTTTGACGTTCTCTTATTTCTCTGTCCCTCTGCACGTAAGCATTATTAGGCGTAGAAATACATGCAAAAATATGCGCAT